GGTCTGATCGGCTGACTCCCAGCCCCTTGCCCAATATGTGTGCAGCATCAGTGGGATTTTGGGGCCTTATAGCTAGAACCTCTATTCCTAGTCTCTCCAGGGCACACTCAGAGGTCTATACCTGCAAAGCCTCAAACTCTGTTTCCAGCTTTCACAGGAGTGTGAATGCCAACATCACTGTCTCAGGTATTGCTATGATCTGAATGTTTGTGTCTCCTGCAAATTCATATGGAAGGTGATGAAGTCATGAGGATGGAGCCTCAGGAATGGGATAGGTGCTTTATAAAAGAGGCTCCAGAGAGATCCCTAGCCCCTTCCACCATGTGAGGACACAGAACCAGGAAGAGGGCTCTCTCTAGAAGCTGACCATGCTGGCACCCTCCAGAACCATGAGATATAAATTTCTCAAATATAAAATTCTGTTATAAGCTACCTAGTCTGTGTTTTGTTATAGCAGCTCAGATGGACTTAGACTGATCATTCCCTGCTCCAGGACTTTATTAGGGGAGATTGGTTTTGTTTTATTTTTTAGGATTCTTTTCCTGGCTGTTCCACTTCCATATATATTCAGCAAGATTTTTCTAACCCATGTTATGCAAAATAAGTTTTTACATTTTTAAAAAATATTTTATTTATTTATTCATGAGAGACAGAGAGAGGCAGAGACCTAGGCAGAGGGAGAAGCAGGCTCCCAGAGGGAAACCTGATGCGGCACTTGATCCCAGGACCCCGGGATCACAACCTGAGCCAAAGGCAGATCCTCAACCACTGAGCCACCCAGGCACCCCAAGTTTTTACATTCTTAAACCAAATAACTGACTCTTACGTGTAGGGGTTACTTTTTAAAAATATTATATGCTAACTTTTCATATTTTAAATAAATTCCATGATAATTGTAGGAAAAGAAAAGTATACAGATGAGCAAGAGAAGAGAAAAAACTCGTCTACAGTTAAGCCTCCCAGAGATAATGATGTGGCTTCTCTAATACCCTTATTTTAGTAATTACATTTAAATATATGTATTTTAAACAAAAATAGTATTATATTCTGTTTACCATTATTTTACCTGTTTTTTTTTAACCTTTAATCTTCTGGGATGCCTGGGATTGAGTCCCACATCAGGCTCCATGCAGGGAGCCTGTTCTCCCTCTGCCTATGTCTCTGCCTCTCTCTCTGTATCTCTCATGAATAAATAAATAAAATCTTTTTTAAAATTAAAAAAATAAACTTTAATCTTCTAACCTTTAGTATCCTTCTTTGTTAATATAGAGCCATATTACATCCTATATTTGGACTCTTTCTCTATTGGACACATACTGTATGTTCAGTGTTGAAAAATTAGACAATGAAGGAAGCTTTTAAAAGGAAAAGAAAAGGAAGAAAACCTCTATAATTCTAGAGACGACCACTGCTAGTATTTTGGTATATCCTCTTACAGAGTCATTCCCTGTGCCTACTTATTAAAAATTAATAAAGACATGCATTTTCTCTTACACAAGGAGAATGTACTATGCATAATGTTTTGCAACCAGTTTTTTTAGTTTAACAAAATTTCATGAATATTGGTTTAGAATAACACACATCAACCTACAGTGCAGCTTTTAGTGACTACGTGTATTTGCTTTGTGGATGTGGGGTATAACCAGCTTGGTCAGTGTCCTGTGACAAAGCATATAGGCCACTCCTGTGGGCTTTATCTGATCCTTCCCCATTCATGTGACAAAATATTCTAAATACCAAGTTTTGAAAGGGCCATTCCAGTCTTAGGAGACTCAAGGCTGTTCTGCTTTACCTCCAATTTTATGTTTATTCAATGTTTTTAAATTTCCACAAAATACTCATCTCTAAGAGTCATAGCACTCTGATCTCTTAAAAATATGTTTACATAGCAACATTGTGGGTCAACTACAATAAAAATGTAAAAAGATACATAATTACATAAAATCTAGAAGAAATCACATCAGGTTCAGACCTCTATCTTCTTTGTGAGGTGGGATTGACCAGTGTTTACCAGGGGAGGACCAGAACTTGCCAGGAGATTTCTCTTATTTCCAGATCAGGAGCTTCCCATTCACCCTGTGAGTTTATTGGGAAAGAGATGGGGCATCTCAGACTTCTTATAGGGTCAACTGGGGGTCTTGAAGTCCCTCTCTTTAGAAAGGAGGAACCCAATTCAGAGCTGGAACTTGGGAAGATAGCCAGGATTGCGATGTGGAGATGCAGAGTTCAGAGACTGGGAGGCTGGCACAGTTTCACAGGTGAGGTTCACAGGTAGTGTTGTCTACAGTGAGGTAGTGGGGATAGAGAGGAGGGGCCAGAAAACAGTTACTAAAACATGGAGCCCACAGGATTTGGTAACTTATTGGGTGTTGGAAATGAGTTAGGGAAAGGAGAGAATCCAGGAGGATGTCCAGATGTTTGAATTTTAGAGAGAAAAAAGAATTTGGAGGGAGGGAGGACCATTGACCCTGAGTGAAGAACCAGGTGTCTGTCCCACAGTCAGAGGATGCTGAGACATTTCTGGATTGTGGAAGCTGGACAGAAATCTCCTTCTGTGGATAGGGTTGACCAAGGCTTCACTTCTTTTCTTTTCCCTTCTTTTTTTTTCTGTCTCCTTCCTTCTTTCCTCTTTCCTTCCTTCCTTCCCTCCCTCCTTCCTCCTTCCCTTCCTTCCTCCCTTCCTTCCTTCCTCTCTTTCTTTCTATTTAATGGTGAGGGTAAGGATTTTATTAATAAATGATACTGATTAATTAGGTCTCTGTATGAAAAAATAATTTTCATCTCTACCTCACTGCACACATTTTAAATTTCAGATATATCATACATCTAAATATGAAAGATAAAACAGGTAGCAACTTCTTCTAGATATGTCTCCTGAGGCAAGGGAAACAAAAGCAAAAATAAACTATTGGGACTTCATCAAAATATTGTGAAATGTTTCTTACTTCTGGCCAATAATTTCCTTTAAAGTTTCTTATTTTTTCAGAGAGGTGGAAATGTCATCCACATGGAAATATCCTTCGAAACCCTGCCCAGAGGTGCCAAATCCTTACAAAGCCAAGAGGAAAAACTGAGGCTTGTGGCAGAGGCCAGCTATTGCAACAGATCTGAGATTATTTGCACAGTGAAGTAGAGGATTGCAATCATGTCCCAATCACTTGTGTTTAAAAAAAAATGCATTGAGGTTTCCATGATGAGTAAGACATACCATGTGGGCTAATTGACTACCTCCACAGCATTTTCCCCATCAATTAAGAAGTGTAATGATGAAGAACACCCCCTTCCATGTTGCATTCTTTCTTTCCATACCATCTATCTTACTCTACAGAAACCACGGTTTGTGTGGCTCAGTTCCAGAGTGGAATTGCATTTTAAAATTCATGGTCCAAATAGGAATTCCAGGCTTCAATCCCCTTTCTCAAAGGACATACAGGAGTGCAAACAAGGTCCTTGGCAATTTTAGCCAATGTCTTCACGTCATCAGTTTGTCTCTAACATGCTACAATTCCTGGAGGCCTCTCACTTTGCCATCACAGAGCTCACTCTTTCCCTTATCCATGCTTTCCTGTCCCCACCATCTTCTTCAGATGGAGTTTTCATGGCTGGCTTGAGTATGGAAGATTGGGAACTCTTTTCTTCCTTGTTGCTGGATAAGAACTAGGTAACTTATAAAATTGTTTAAGCATGGTCTTTTCTTTTTAAAGATTTTATTTATTAGAGAGAGAGAGCATAGCAGGGGGAGCAGCAGGCAGAGGGAGAGGGAGAAGCAGACTCCCCACTGAGCAGGAACCTGATGGGGCTCCATCCCTGGATCCTAGGATCATGTCCTGAGCCAATCATGATGCTTAACCAACTGAGCCACCCAGGCGCCCTGATGCATGATCTTAATGTAAACTTAAAGCATTCTGTATACGCAACAGGCTATAAAGAAGATCTGAAACATTTTGCTATCTAATTCGTGGTGCCCCAGGTTCTAGAAGTCATGGCTCATGCTCAGTGTGTTGGGATCCAGATTGTTATGGTGATGGAGGGGGCAGGACTGGGAGATTGTTGGTAAGTTATCCTGGTAGCCAAGGGAGAGATCTCAGCTAGAGAAGCTTCTGAGAAAGTTTCCTCCTTTGAACTGTGGCTGAGAAGTGATGTGTTCATTCCTATGATGCCCTTGAGCATCTTGAGCTCAATAAAATATCCAAATGTCTGTGGGCTAATGTTTTATCTTTGCCCTAGAAATTTATAGTCATGCTGGGTGACGGGCACTGAAGGGGGCACTTGATGGGATGAGCACTGGGTGTTATTCTGTATGTTGGCAAATAAAATAAACTCAAAGCTTTAAAGATTAAAAAAAAAGAAATTTATAGTCATGGCAACAAGTATGGTGTAGTGGCCCTGGTGGTGCAGAATGATGTGTGTGTGTGTGTGTGTGTGTGTGTGTGTGTGTGTGTGTGTGTAGAGGTTCTCCATTATGGATTTTTCCAATCATGGTTTGAGATATTAGGATTGCATTGCCTGGGTCCTTGTATATGATATCCTTTCCCTTCTCATTTATACTTTTTCTGCTTTTCCTATACTGTGGGCACAAAAAGTCAATGGTACAAAATTGAATTTCCCAGGTGCTCCAAGAAGACTCAGCTCTGTGACTGGAGAAAAACTTCACTCTTCCCTCTGGGCCTCAGTTTCTCCATATAGAATAGAATGGAACTAGACAGAAATGTCTTTTTAAATGGAGTAATAATATTGAGTAGATTCCTTCTCAAAGTAAGTTTCACAAGTTTTACTATCCTCTAAGACAAAGGACACAAGCCACCATAAACTCCAAGTTTCTAAAAAATCAGGGTTCTGATCTTAGGGTAAGCAGTTCAAAGGAACATTTCCAATGGTGACTGAACAGGGTACCAAGTGGGAGGCATTCTGCTGCAAAAACCATAATTGTTACTTTACAAGGTGCCCCAGGCTTATTTCATGGCTCAGTGAAATCTTTCTGTCCATCCCTCCATCCTTAGTTTGTTGAATATCCTCTCCAGCGTTCTACCTCATGGTCTCAAGATGGCTGCTCCAACTCTAGATATCCAGCCCTCGCATCACATGATGGTGCTAAGCAGAATAGATGCCCACACCCGGATCTATGAATATGTTACAAATCTGTAAGTATGTTGTGTTACATAGCAAGAGAAACTTTGCAGATGTAATTAGGGTTACATATTTAAAGATAGGCAGGTAGCCTGGATTATCCACATGGGCCCAGTGGAGCACAGCCCAGCAAAGCAGAGAAATTTTTCCAGGTGGAAACAGTAGAGAGCTATGGCAGAAAGAAAAGCCAGAGAAATTCCAGGCATGAGAGAGATTTCTCGTGCATTGCTGGCCTTGAGATGCAGGTCTCTCATGCAAGGACTAAAGGGAGAGGCTTCCAGAGTCAAGGATGGCCCACAGCTGGGAAGGGGGAGCTCAGTCTTAAAACTCCAAGCAGTTGGGTTAATCCTGTCAAGTGCCCCCTCTATTTCTATAGTTTTAAATTGCCAAGTTTGTGGTGATTTGTTATGATCAGCAATAGGGAACTCACAGTTATTTAAGTATAGGAAGCAGGGAATAGTTCTTTGGAACCCTGGCTCCATTTTTTCAGAAGTGAATTAATTCCTAGGAGCCTCCAGACACTTTCTTGATTCACCTTGTCACTTCCTTCAAGTTGTTTCCTGAGACTCGGTGAGTCTCCCAATGTTGTCCTGGGTTCTGTATTCCTGCCTGACCCTCTGACCTCTTGCCCTGATCCCTCATACCATGCACCACTTTCTAACATCATAGATAATTCAGTTATTTTATCACGTATCCTTCTTATTGTCTCTCCCCTCTGCCCATTCTTGCATAAAGAATGATTTTTTAAAAAGGTTTTATTTATTTGAGAGAAAGCACACAAGCAGGAGGAGCAGCAGGCCCAGAGGGAGAAACAGACTCCTGGCTGAGCAGGGAGGCCAAAGTGGGGCTTGATCCCAGGACCCCAGAATCATGACCTGAGCTGAAGGCAGATGCTCAATCACTGATCCACCCAGGCACTCCAAAAGGTGATTTCTTTAAGGGCAGAGGTCCGTACTTGTTTCACTAGCTGATGTGCTCTAAGCGCCTAAAACAGTGCCTGGCACATACTAGGGCCAAATAAATCTTTTCTGTGTGAAGGTGGGAGGCAGCCATAGAGAGGCAGTATGAGTTGGGAGGTCAGTTGAGGCCACACATGGAAAGATACAGCCTTGAACCAGCCTGCATAAGGCTGCTAGGTGAGGGTGTGGGGAGCAGAAGGGCCCTGGGTTTATTTTCACCTGTCAGAAACAAAGTGGAAGTTGTACCTACAGGGTAGGGTCCAGGAAATTCCTCTTTGTCGTTGAGGCATGAAAACAGAACCTGCCATGGGGAGGGTGGGTAGGGGATTTTGGGAGAGAAAACCCTGCTCCCATATGAAGGAGATTTGAGAAGTCCACTCCAGCGGCGGCTCTGCCTTCTTTGGGTGGGGTGGAGGGGAGGGAGAGGAGAGGGCCTCAGGATGCAAGCAGAACTGAGAAGAGCAATCAAGGGAAACCTGGTGGAGGAGTGGGTGGATAATGAGAAGACTGAGAAATCCTGGGAAGAACAGGATGGATAGATGGAGGCTGTGAATGCTGGCTCACGTGCACCAGGTACGCCTAGCACAGGAACCACAGACAGTGGGAGTGTGCTGGGGTGTACAGAGGAGATGAGGCTGGAGGCAGCCAGAAACCACATTAGGACCTTGGGAGGCAGGAGAGATGGAGGTTAAGAGCCAGGTAGAGCAGAACCTGGGGCCTGATAGGCCTTACAACTTTAGGCAAGTCATCTTCTCTCCGTGGGCTTCAGTGGTCTTAACATAAGACAGAATAATAATGTCCCTAACTTACTTGACTTTTCATTTTTCCACAGCTTGTATTACTTCCTGATATTCCACTTAACTTACTGATTTTTTATGCTTATTGCTTATCATCTCTCTGGGCACTGGAACCGGGTTTTCCATCCATTTTGTCCTGAGCACCCAGGGCAGGGCCAGGAGGTGCTCAGGACATGTGTGTTGAAAGGCTGAGTGAGTGTGTACTTCCTCACAGGAGCTGCTGTCACAACAGTCACCACACCCAGTGGAGACTCACTCGTACTGAATGCTTACTCTGTGCCAGGCACTGTTCCAGGCACCTTCCCAGCATTAAATCATTTCAGCTCACAAATGTCGTGTTTGTCCCAGTCTGCAGATGGGGCACGGAAGCTCATAGGGGTGACATAACTTTCCCGACAAACCACAGCTGGGGCGTGGAGCACTCAGACAGGAGCCTCCCGCTCATGGCCCTGGAGCCTCTGAAGTGGCAAAACCATCCCCACCCCCTCTAACAGCTGAGGAAAATGGTCACAAGGGAGGTGAATTGACATGCCCATGGCTGCATGGTTGGCAAGGATTGGAACCTCTGCAGGTTGTCTCCAGAGCCAGTCTGCTCAACCTCATGTGTCCCTGGAGCAGATACTTGGTGGCTCTGCCTGTGGCAAGAATGAGACCCAGATGAGCAACTAGCCGAGGCAGCTGGGTGACCAAGCTCTCCTTCCAGTGATGTCAAGGTACCCCTCTTGCTTTAGGTAATCATTTCAGAGTTTTCTCAGCCTTACCTGAACCACCCACCCCCTCACTTCCTCTGTTCTAGAGCCACCTGAACTTCTGTGTCTCAAACTCAGCAATTTCCCACATGCCACACCCTCTGCCTACCAGACTCTCACCTGACCCACTCCTGCATCTTCCAGGTCTCAGGCTTGATGTCCTCTCCTCCAGGAGTCCTCCCTGACCTCCAGGCTGGGTCAGGCTCCTCCTTTGGGCCTCCCCAGCATGCTAAGTTGGCACTGACTGGGGACAGGTCTTTCTACCCTACTAGACTGTGAGCTCGTGCTGGCAGGCCTGGAGATGTCTTGGTCACTACTGTGTTCCCAGTGCTACTAAGCACAGGTTTCAGCACAGAATAGGAATTCAGGAAATGTTTGTAAATGAATGAGGGAGGGAGGGAATGAATGAATGAATGAATGAATGAATGAATACATGGATTGATGGTTGTTAATGGTTGTTTCCTAACCCCATTGATTATATTAAATCTTCGTCTGGGTGCTCCCAAAGACCAACAGCTTGTCTTGCCCAAAGGGAATAATAATAATAATAATAATAAAAGCAACTCTCCTATATTGAACCTTTAGTGTGTCCTCAAGTCTCAGCTCAGATGTCTACTCTTCCAGGAAGCCCTCCCTGTCTCTTGTCCCCAGGCTGGGTCAAGCACCCCCTAGGGTTCTCCCAACCCAGCTCACTCTGTGCTTCCTGCTTTTTGTTTATGACCAGTATCCTTTCAGCTCACTTAATATATCCAAACTGCTTACAGTGAGCCTGGCACTGAGTCTGATTTTATTAAGCTCTCAATAACCAGGAGCCCCCATTATTGTTTTGTTATCATTACTATTGACTATCATTATCTCTGTTCCTGGTCCACTTAACTCTAACATTCTGTGGTTGTCCCTCCCTGGCACCTCTTCTCCCTGAATTGTTTTTGCATCCTGGCAAAGAGGCAGGGAAGGGAGCTTACAAGGAGGGAGACATAATTCTCGAGGGGACTCAGAGCCAAAAGGCAGGGATTTCTTTCTCCTTCCCCACCCTGGTGGAAACCCCAGATTCCTAGGGCTCTTGTTCTGTGTGCTGGACAGAGGAAGGAAAGAGAGCCCTGGGGTGAGGGGTGGGGAGGTAGGTCCAAAGTTCCTCCCTGCCACTGCCACCACCACCCCTGTCTGTCCTGGGAGCCACTGTCATCAAAGTGAGTTTGCAGCAGGGCAGAGGGGAAGAAGAGGGAGCTGAAGGGATAGAGCTGGAGTGAAGACGGTGTCTGTGTGTGCAAGCCAGGGCACGCTGGTCAGGTGCCAGGACCCATGGGGCTCGCTGACTTGTGGGGCCACCACTGGGTGGGAATCCTGCTTGCAGGTGAGTGCGCTGTTCCCTTCAGAGCGTGTGGGGATGTGTGTGTGTGTGTGTGTGTGTGTGTGTGCGCGCGCACGCGCGCGGGCGCATGCACATACACAAAAGACAGAGACACAGAGACATAAAGATCAGAGAAATAAAAACAAATACAAAAGCGATAGACAAAGGTAGAGACCAGAGATAATGACATATATACAGAGAGAGGTGGATTTGGAACCACAGAACCGGAGACCTAGAGAGAAATAAGGGGACAGAGAGGCAGAGAGTGGAAATGACAGAAGAAGCAGTAGCCCAGGGAAGAACAGGGAGGGTCAGATAGAAGAGAAGGAGAGAGATGACAGCCAAAGGGACAGCAAGAAAAGTATACAGACATACAGACATACAGAGAAATAGATTTGGGGAAGTCGTTTGGGGGGGTGGGTGGAAGGAAAGAGCTGGAACATAATACAGACAGGTGGAGGGAGGATGTGCCAGTCTTGAGTGGCCAGGTCACACCTCAGTCAGGACAGTGGATGGATGAGAAATTGATGCTTAGGGTCTCTGAGCAAAAGGAAGAAATGAGACTATTTTGATAAGAAAAGCATTTTGGGGCAAAGAAATGATTTTGCAATGGGTAGTGTGCAAAATTCAGCCTTGCTTTGCTGTGTGGCCCTGAGACTTGGCTCTTCCCCCTGGCTGACCCTGGCAGGCCACAGGGGCTCCGGAGTCCCCTGAGGGGCTGCCAGTTATCACCTTCTCTGCAGAATTTGCTTCCCTCCTGTGCGCAGAAGGCAGGACCCTGTGGGGAGGAGGCGGGAGGGAAGGGGTCAGGTAAAGGCTCTCTGCAGAGGGAGGTTTCAGATGCATGTGATGAGGTGCACCGCACCATTGATGCTTTCACTTGTGGTCTTTCTCTTATCCTTATGACGGTCATATGAGGTGGAAACTATTATTACTCCATTTTACAGATGGGGAAATTGAGACTCTCAAAGAGGACATCACTTGCCAAAAAATAAAATGATAAAGTTGAGATTCACATGCAGGCTTTGAGCCTGTGGATTTAACTTCTAGTGCTATTGCAGGCAGAAAATACAAACATGGAAATAATTATAATAGTGACTGAGCACTTAACTATGAACTGTTTTAAACATGTCACGCCTGTAATATCTCATCAAGCTCCATAGCAACCTGATGAACTAAGTTCTCTTTTCCCCATTTTGCTGGTGAAGAAAGTGAGGCTTGCACATAGAGAGCCCCCTTGCCTGTGATCAGAGCCAGGAAACATTAGAGTCAATATTTGTTTCTGAATATCCAGGGAGCCCATGCCCTTAACCACTGACTGAGCAGGGAATGGGGCAGGACTCAGGCCAGATTGGGGTCCAGTTAGGGCTGGAGAGAAACATGGCTGTCAGCCTCTGTGAATTGGGCTGATGGGAGGGGTGGGGGGTGTCAATGTCAGCTGCATATGATCATGGCAGCGGGGGTTGGGGGAGTCCCCACTCATGCCCACAGTCTCTTCAAGCCTCCACAAATGTAGAATGGACAGATGGAAAACCAACAATTTCTGCTATCTTGTTTCCTTTCTGCCCAAGGGCAAGTCTGCGGAAGTACCAAAGGTTAATAATAGAAGATAAGAGAAAATAATAGAAGTTCCCATTAATCAGGGATAAGCTCTGTGCCCATCCCTGGGCTGACAGGAGGAATTATTATTTTTAAGATTTTATTTATTTATTCATGACAGGCACAGAGAGGCAAAGACACAGGCAGAGGGAGAAGCAGGCTCTCTGTAGATTGCTGATGCAGGACTCAATCCCAGGACCCTGGGATCAATCACCGAGCCACCCAGGTGTCCCTGACAGGAGGTATTATGTGGTGTGAAGAACACAGTCTTTAGGGGATGGCAGTTCAAGTTCAAGTTTGGCTTCTGCCGCTTACTATAATGGTCTTGGAAAGTGACTCCTCCTGTCTGAGCACATCTCTTCCCTCTTGAGGAATGAGGAGACTGATTGTGTATCTCCTGCAGGGTGAGAATCATTGGAGACAGCACAGTGACCCTCAGGGGCCCAATTCCACCTTGCCAGTATTCATTGCCACAACACAACAACCCTGGGGTACAGGTGATACTATGTCCATTCTACAGCTGGACAGATTGAGGTTCAAGAAGATTAAAAACATGCCACAAGTCACATGGTCAGTGAGTAGTGGCTGGGAGTCCAGCTTGTAGGGGTGAAGTGCCACGTCCATGACCTAGACGCCCTTATATTTATGGAGACCATAACCGGACCTCCAACACACATCTTCCTCCCTAAATGCCTCTTCCCTCTTCCCCACCAGCTTCACTTTTGACCCTGTGGAGTCTATCAGCTGCAGCCCAACTCACCCTTGATGCCAACCCATTTACCACCACCCAAGGTGAGAAGGATGCTATTCCATCTATGTCTGGGACCCCCTGGGCAACTCAGACTCATGGCAGATTCATAGATGTGGACACAGAAAACAAAGCTATCCTTCTGATCCCTGCCTTCATACCTAAATCACCATTAGGATTCTGTACTCAAAGTTCCAACGAGACCAATCAGATTGGCCCAGCCAGGGTCTGGCAACAACTGGTTGGTCAAATCAGGTGTACTGGGGCAGGTGTAGAGGGGTGGACTGTGGCTAGCGTGGTTGTGGGTGGGAAAGGTTGGCTAAGAAGTAGGCACTGGGATCTGGCTGGCATCCCTGTTACAAAGGTGATTCTCCTTAAAAGCTGATATTAATTGACCCATTGTCATTATCCCAGATCCTTCTGATTTATTTGTACAATCCCTTTTAATGAAGGCTCAGAGAGAGGAAATAAGTTGCCCATGACCACACTTAAAATGAGCAGTAGATCTAGCATTTCAGCCCAGGCATTGAGCTCGTGTGTCTTCTGGCAATTCCAATCCATCCTTGACTCTCTGGGTCTCTCTGTGACTACATTTTGCTTGGTCCTCCTCTGTCTCCTTATCTCTCTTTCTGTGCAGGACTGCTGGCCAAGCCCACCATTTCAATCAGCCAAAACACTGCTACAGAGCAGATGGAACAGGTGACCTTCTACTGTTACACCAAGGATGCCAATGTTACCATCCAGTGGTTCTTCAAAGATGTCCCCCTGGTGTTCCATGAACGCATGCAGCTGTCCACGGATGGCAAGAACCTCACTATCCTCACTGTGCAACGGGAGGACTCTGGGATTTACAAATGTGAAGCTCAGGGTTTCCTCCAGGTCCATAGGAGTGATCCCACCTTCCTGACTGTGAACTGTGAGTCCCTTTCCATTCCCCCCAGCCCTTCACTGACACCCCCTTCTTGGTGGTTTCATTCAGTCTCACAGCTTTAGAAACCATCCAAATGTGGACTTGTCTACCCTTGGACTCCAGACGTATAACTGTTTGATGTCTCTACTTGGATACTACCGGAAACATCCAAGTTAAGATATCTAAAACTAAGTCACCTTCAGATGTCTTGTCTGGCAGGGGCAAGGAAAGAGCATTTGCTGGTATGCTTTAGGTGTGTCTTAAATCCTGCTTTACCTACAGATAAGGCTGACGCTTAATTTCCATTAGACTCCTGTCTCTCCTTTGTAGTTGATCCAGAGCTTGGGTATGGAGAAGAGAAATATTAATATTTATTGACTCCTGAGGTCTCCCTAAGAGAGCCATTGCTGATGTGATTGTTACTGCTATGATTGTTCTTGTCTTCCCAGATGGTCCTGACGCATTTGAAATCAAGTTGGAGTCTGGCGTATCCAGCGGGGAGGTGGTTGAGGTGATAGAGGGTTCCACTGTGACCCTCTCGGTGGACACACGGTCTCATCCACCTCCTGACTATTCCTGGTTTCTCCTCAACAACTCTCTCCCATCTTCCTCGATGAGAACATTTACCATCCAGGCTGTGTCCAAGGAGCATGAAGGCATGTACAGGTGCTTGGTGTCCAACATTGCCACCCACCTGCTCCGCCTGAGTGCTCTTGAAGTCCGAGTCCTTGGTAAGCCTCTTTTTCCTGTTTCCTTTGTTCCTCTGAGAGTCAGAGCTACACCAGTATCCCAAAGGTTGAGAACACAGAAGAGTGGGGATTTCCTCTGTGGCTGGTGACAGCATAGGTCTCTGACCATAGGGAAGGGCCTGGCTCCTGGCTTGGCACATCTTCCACAAGACCTTGTTGGCTGTCTATGGGTTGTCCATTCTTTGGTTCTCTGAAACTTGGTAGGAGGGTTGATTCTCTCTCCATACAAACACTAACACAGTATTCACACATCTCAACACATGAGTAGTAACCACATATGCACAGCACATTCACACATCTGTACAACACACACAAGACACACATAACTCATGTACAACTAATACACATAACACACAACACAACCAACATACAACATGCATGCAAGGCACATGCACATGACAGATACATATAACATGTACACAACAGATACAACACACAGAGAACATAACACATCATAGACCTACATCACATGCTCACACTGTAGAGACAACCCCCTAACACATACATGCAGTACACTCACACATACACACAACACATATACTACACACAGGAGATACACATAAAACACAGACATACTATCTCACATGTGATACATATGCAACAAACAATACCACAAACACACCACACACTCTCACGTAAAACATATACACCCACAACATATAACATACATACACCACACACATCACAGTCACTCAAGATCCTCACATACGACACAGAAAATGCACCACATACTCTACATTCAATACCCTCAGCACATGTACACAACTGACACACATTACACATACTCAGTGTATATATACTATACACACAATGCACTCATACACACAGCATGTAGAACACCATACAACACATATGTATAACACACACAATACCACACACGACATACTCTCACATGCAGAGAATATATACACACAATGCACACTCACAAAGTGAATATGAACAATACCTCATAGTCACAAAACATATACACACACACACACACAAACTTACACACAAAACATGCCCATATTCCACACACTCACCGTACACACAAAGCCCATAACATACTCACATTATTGCCACACAGCACACACTCATACCTCCAATTAATGTAGTCATAGGCAAAGTATACACACACACACACACACACACACCACCCACAATATATAACATAGATCCCTGGAAAGCCCTATGGGGCCCGCCTGGGCAAGAGACTGGGAAAGAGTTCCTGACCCCTACCCTATGTCTCTGTGTGTTTCCAGAAATGCTGACTGAACCTCACATTGTGTCCCCAACCCTGAATCTCGTGGAAAATGCCAGCTCTGTGACCCTGACCTGCCAGACCTCCCACAAGGAGGCTGGAGTCCTGTGGTTCCTGAGGGGCCAGGCCCTCCTGCCCAACAAACACCTGGTGCTGTCGGCCAACAACAGGAGCCTGGTCATCCATGGCCTCCGGAGAGACGACACGGGACCCTATGAGTGTGAGGTCTGGAATTGGGGCAGCCGGGCACGAAGCAAGGCCCTAAGGCTCACCATCAGCTGTGAGTCACCCAAGCTGCACCTTGTCCTCCTCTTTCCCTCCTTCCTTCCCTCCCTTCCTTCCAGCCATTCATCCCACAATTATTGAACACCAGTTCTGTGCCAGGCACGTCTGGGCATGGAACAAGACAAATCACCTGCCCATGTGGGGCTTACCTCCTAGTGGGGAGACACACCCTAAACAGTTAAGGGAGAGACATGGTGTATTGGGCGGGGCTGAGGAGAACCATAAGGCAGCATGGGGGCAGGGGAAGCTGGGAGGGGAAGGTGCTACTGTCTTAGGTGGGGTCATCAGGGAGGCCTCCCTGAGGAGGTGGTGTTCATGCAAAACTGAATAGGCAGATAAGGGAAGAGAGTGCCAGGGGGAGGGAGCAGCATGTGGAGTGGGTGGTGAGCAGTGGGCACAGGGACCCAAGGAGGCTGAGGCAACTAGACAGGCGAATTAGAGAGAGGACAGAACAGAAGAGGTCAAGAGGTAAAAGGGTGGGGACAAATTCCATGAGCCATGGCGAAGGCATGGGAGCAACAGAAGGTTCTAGGGGGAAGGAGGAGAGGATTAGGTTTTCACAGGGTATCCTGGGCTCTGTCTGTGGGGTGGAAGCTGAGGAGACGTAAGTGGTTTAGAAAGTGTTGTGATTGTTCAGGTCCTTGGAGAGGCAGGCCCCAAGGCAGAATTAAAGGGATGACACATACAAGGATTTTAGTAGGAGGGATGCTCCTGTGCAGAAAAGTAGGGAGAAGGCCTTCGAAGGCTGGGGGAACCAGTGACGGTGATGCTTATCCCACCCTGAGCAAGCAGGAGAGAGGGAGGGAGAGAAGGTTGGATGGAAGCGTGGAACCCCACCATGCAGTCTGAGAAACATCATCAAGACTGTCAGGAAACCTTGTATCTCCCAGGAAGGAGCCTGCCTCTGTTTCCCCAATACACTCAGGTACAGGTAGAGGGTAGCCGTGGGAGGGCCAGCAGTGGATTTTAGGGCACAGAGGCTGGGCACTTGGGTTATTGAAACTCCTGCTGTGAGAAGTCTGTGAGGTGCTTTCTCCGGGTGGCCACAGTTGTCCGTCAGGGAAATGAGGAGTGATCAGACCATGGATGCATTTTGAATATAGAACTCAGGATTTGCTGCTGTTGACACAAGTGAAAGAGAAAGGGACTGACTCCAAAGTTGTTTTTTTGTTTGTTTATTTGTTTGTTTGTTTGCCTGAGCTATTCAAACAGTGTAGTGGCCACAAACTGAAGTGAAGAAGAGGTGCCTGCAGGGAGAGAAAGCACATACTGAGTATGTGTATGTGTATGAGTATGTGTGTTAAGTAGTGGGGCATATGGAGGCTTACGTACCCTACTGCTCTCTTCTTCACTTCCCGCTTCAGTTATAAAACCAAAACTGTTCTTTTGCTCATCTCTGCTGAGCAAATGTGGGGTGCTTGATAAGTTGTAGCCATGACTTTTGGAGCTCACAGCCTACTTGGGATGAGGAGGGCGATAATCAGGCAAAGAAAAAAAAATACAGTGTCAAGAGTGCTGCCATGGGATGACAGGATTTGGGGAACCCAAAGGAAGCCCCCACCAGTCTGGGAGATGTGGGGAGGCTCGTCGTGAGAGGTGGTGTCTACCATGAGATCTAGAGGACAAGTAAGCTAGGTAGAGCAGACTCAGGGAAGAGCATTCCAGAGAAGGAAGAGAATGTATGAAGGCTCTAAAGTAAGAGGCAGCATGATAAAGATGGAGCATCCCGAGTGGGATCTTATTTCTGAATTGAGACTGGGGATGGGGGGGTTGTAGAGAGGTGAGAGGTGGGGCTGTAAGGGTCTGTAAGGGCAAGATTGTGAATGAGCTCATCAGCTGCAGCCTTTGTCTGAAGGGCATTAGGGAGCCATGGAGGGCTCTGAGCAGGGGAGGGATAGTGTCAAGTTTGTACTTCCGGAGCCCCCCTGGCCGCTGTGTGGAGGATTTGACACCAGGATGGGAAGACCCTGAGGGATCCTGGTGGTCATGGGATTCTGATGGGGAGAATATCAATGGATGCCTAGCAGGCAATGAGGGCAGGATTTTCCTCCTTTCCCTGAGTCCCAGCTAGAAACTCTTTGCATCCTTCTTTCCAGCAGTTCATGTTAATTTAAATAAGACAAAGCCTCAACTCTTAGTTTGCATGAGAAACTCAACAGCCATTTTGCTTGTTTCTTTCACTGTGTGGGAGGAGAGCCAGGTGCCAGGAATCTCCTTCTGGCTTCAGGAAGGAAATTTGCAAGTATCTGACCTTGGAGAACACTTGGATGTACATTTAAATATCCCAACAGGGCTATTTGCTCAATTCACTAAAAGAGTCCATCAGAATGGTGAAGTTTTTGGAAGTGTAGGGCTATGTCCACAGGCCACAGCAACAATTTGGGAAGCCTGGATGTGTTATGAGGCTCCGTGGTGAGAGTTCGCTTTTGCAAGGGTAGGGGGTTTTGTTTTTTATTTTGATGTTGTTTTCCTTTGGGTTTGTCCCGTCCACATCGTGCACTACAGTCTGCCTGTGTGGCACCTAAGGAAGAAAAGAGAACATCTCTCTCGAGACTCGTTTTCAAAGGCATCAGAAGAGCCAGGCTACAACCTAAAGTTCTGTTAGACTCAAGAAGGGGTGGGGATGGAGGTGGGGGGAAGGGGGTAAAACTTCCAGCGTGGAAGCAGACTGGGCAGTAAGGGAAACCTCACCAGCAGAGAGTGGGTGCATGATGTTTGGCTTTGCACACAGATGGCCCTGATCAAGTGGACATCACCAGAGGGGCAGCATCTGGGGCAGTCAGCACCGTCAAGGCAGAGCTCAACTCTAGCCTGACCCTGCACTGTCAGGCAGAGTCTCAGCCAGGCGCTGAGTTTCAATGGACCCTTGAACATTCCACCACTGTGTATATGGGGCAGCAGTTAATCATCGGGACCCTGACCTGGGAACACCAGGGTGTCTACAACTGCATGGCCTCCAACCCACTGACCCAGCTGGCCCGCTCTGCCTCGGTCCTGGTCACAGTGGTAGGTGAGTCCCTTAGTGCCTTTTCCACTGGGGCTCAAGTGGCTTTTCCTAATGCCGGCCTCACTATCTAGTCTTCTAGTATGACGAGTGTACTGCATGGAGCTGCTGAATCCCAGTCCGTAATGCTCGGATCTAGAACATCTGCATCCTAGCTGCGTGCCCCAGAAAACCCTCCTGGCTGCTCTGAGCCTCAGTTTTCTTACCGGGAAATGGGAGTTGTAATGACTTCCCTTCTAGAGTTGTTTAGAAGTATAGTAAGTCAGGGAGATAGTCAATGAGCAAAGGAGTGAACTGGTAGGAATTATATTAATTATAGGAAATATATATATATTTATATATATATATATATTTTTAAAGATTTTATTTATTTGAGAGAGAGGGAGAGAGGGAGAGTGAGCAAGTGCAAGCAGGGGAGGAACAAAGGGAGAGGGAAAAGCCGACTTTCTACTGAGCAGGGAGCCAGATGTGAAGCTGACCTGAGCTGAAGGCAGATGCTTAACTCACTGAGCCACTCAGGTGCCCCTAACTATAGGAATTATATTAATAATAACTGGATGTGACTGGCAGTGAGTCCCTGTATTTCTGTCTTTTGAGTTCCTGAGAGGGCAACACAGTATCACTATTAGCCCGAGTTTGTATACCAGTTCTGATGCTTATTAGCTGTATGACATGGGGTATGCCGCTTAACCTCTCTGGACTTCCAACTCCTTGTGGGTAAAACAAACATAATAATTGTGCTTAGATCATAGGGTCGTTGAAAATTAACCAACATTTGTAAAGTTTTTATGGCAGTGCCTGGCATATTATGTTTATTAAACAAATGAAATTATTCTTAATTGAGCCTATTGCCAGATGCCTGAAATAAGCCTTTCCATACACAGTATCAGCAAATGCTTCTTGACGCTCTCTACCAGCCAACTCTGAGGTGGGCCTGCTGGTATCTCTGTTGTGTAGGAGAGACTGAGCCCCATCCTATAGTTTGAAACCAGGCCAGCTGCCTCAGGACTCATGTTCTTAGTTATCACCAAGTGGAGGACCATATGTACCTTCCCAGACTACCTTATTTAATCCTCAAAACACTCTCTGGTCTTGTTAAGACCGTTTGATGAATGGAGAAACAGAGGCTCAGGAGAGGGAGCAGTGAGTCCTGTTGATGGTCATGGGAATGTTGTAGGATTTGAATGAGATCACACGTGAAGGGCTCTTGCAGCTTAGAGCTTGGTGGATGGCAGTTTCTGGCATCATCATCATCATTGGATCATACCATTGCCTTTCATCAAATACTGACTGTGTCAGGCACGGTGCTGGTTCTCCTACATGGGATCTCACTCAATCCCCTCAAAGCCTGTAGGGTTATGAATGGCTATGCTTGTTTGACAGAGAAAGAAATGAGGGCTCAAAGAATGAAACTAAGAACCTCCAAAGCATCCTGGAAGGCCCCTCTTGCCCCTCCAAAGCAGAGAGCCCCTTCCTCTTAACCCTGATCCTCATGGCTGCCTTCCCAAACCCTGTGGCTGGACTTTACCCCTTTGAGAAGGCTTCTGGGCAGAAGCTGGATGGGCAAACACAGGCCCACGTTAATGATTACAGCTGCCATTTATTAATCAATCACCTGTGGTATGCCCGGCATGAGCATTCACGATTTCATTTCATCTTCACATCATCACTGTGCAGTGGGTACCATTTCCCTCACTTTGCAGATGAGGAAATGAGACTCAGAAGGGGATGTCACTTGTCCATGGTCACAGGGCCCCAGAAAGTTAAAGGTGACTCAGGTATGAAAATGAGGGGAAAAATAGCGGAAAGCCAGGTTTCTGGTTTTCAAAGCCTTTCCTCTGAAGGCCATATTTGATCCATTATCTTAAACAGTATTGTCATACCACCAACATTTACTGATCACTTTCCGTGGGCCTAAGTATTGTCCTACCTTGAACATGTTGAACATTCCATATTTTGAACATGAATACTCTTATATTGAATCTTTTTAGCAACCGCTGACACTATTATCCCTGTTTTACAGAGGAGACAACTGAAGCACAGAGAGGTTCAGTAGCATGGTCAAGGTCACACAGCTGAGATGTGAATAAGCCATTTGGCTCTAAAAATTATGCTATTAATATGACAAAGTGCTGCCTCCCAGTGACTGGAAAACAAGTGTTCATCAAGTGACACTAGAGATAAAACCATAGCTTGGGAAGGGGAGGGGGGCAGGCATGAGGGTGTCAGACCAGGTTCCCAATTCTTTCTCCTTGCCCAGGTTCCAGGTCTTCCCTGTCTGCAAGAGTCATTGTTGGCATTGCCCTCGGGATCCTGATTTTCATTGCCCTGACTGCAGGCCTGGGCTATTTCCTCTACAACAGAAATGCCAAACGGTAAAGCTGGGAATGGGGTAGGGGACATGGTGGCCTGCAGGGGGCCTGCCTGGCTGAAGAGTTGCTGACCATGGTGCTGAGCTGTGTTTGTAGCAACTGGGGATTGGGACATTGCCCAAGAAAGGACATGGGATATGGGTAGGACCTGTGAAGATGGTGAGGTCTGGGGGCAGAAGAATGAGGGACTTGGGGTTTCAGGTTCTCAAGGAAAAAAGCAGAGGACCCCCTCCAGGAGGCAGCAACACCCAGCTCTGCAGAGGAGCCCTGTGCAGAGTTCTGTTCTAGTAAGTGACTTCATGGCTGATGCCCAGGGCAGCGGTGGAGGCTGGGGAATAGGCTGGTACTGGGAGCCCGGACTTCTGCTCCCAGCTCTGTCACTAATGATCATGGATGAGATTGGAGCCAAGAACTCGGAGGAGTTCTGCTGTTCCAACATCCACAGCATAAATGGGCATTTGTTACCCTTCTCTCCTTCCTCAATCTCAGAAAATTTTGCTAATTGATTGCTGTAGGCAGAGAGAATCAATTGCAACACTCATCCCTGCTGAACCCAAAGTCACCTTTATAACCCACCTCAACACAGTGCTTCATGCACCCTCTACTGATGGGTGGGAGCTGACTAAAGGCAAAATGAAACACCTTTGACATCTCTGGGCTAAGATTCTGGAAGGATGGACCCCATAAAATGGAAGCCCTAGATACTCTCCAATCCAGCTCAGGTTTACAGAGAGGAAATCCATGCCCAGGAAGGAAAAGGATAAATCCACTCTACAGAGGACCCAGTGACACAAATAGCAATAGGTCTTAGATTTCTGTCCTCATCCATCTCATCAAACAGCCTTATCTAACCCACAACTAGATTTCCAGGGCATTCCTAGGTCAAGCTCACCAGAGATGTGATGGGGAGTCCTGGGGAGGGAAAAAGGGAGGGAGAGAGGGAGGGAGGGTGGGAGGGAAGGGGGAAGGAAGGAAGGAAGGAAGGAAGGAAGGAAAGGAAGGAAGGAAGGAAGGAAGGAAGGAAGGAAGGAAGGAAGGCAAGGAAAACAACCCCTTCCCTTACATCTCTTCCTGATACCAGCCCTGGGCTGTCATTCCATTTCTCTAGATTGGCCAAAGGCCATGTATGCCAATTTACCTGAACCTCAAGGACAAGTTGGAGTCAAAGAGGTGAGCAATGCTCCAGAGGGACCCTCCCTGCTCCCCTGAGAATCTGGCCCTTCCCCAGTGCAGCAGGACTGTTCCAGTCCCACCTCCAGGGTTGGGAAGTGAGGCATGTTCTTTTGAGAATACCCAGTGCTAGCTTGAGTTTCTCTGCATTTCCTCCCCTGCCTCCTCTGGGAATCCACAAGACCCTCTCTTGCTTTCCATCTTTTTTTGTCTTGCTTTTCTTTTTTTTTTAATTTTTATTTATTTATGATAGTCACACACACACACAGAGAGAGAGAGAGAGAGAGAGGTAGAGACACAGGCAGAGGGAGAAGCAGGCTCCATGCACCGGGAGCCCGACGTGGGATTCGATCCCGGGTCTCCAGGATCGTGCCCTGGGCCAAAGGCAGGCGCTAAACCGCTGCGCCACCCAGGGATCCCTTGTCTTGTTTTTCAACATGACAATGCCTAGTCTTGAGCTCCTCTAGGAGTCAGAAGGGATGTAATGGGCCTCTGAGACCAAAGCTGTTTCTGAGAATTTCTGGGAATGGTCTCCATCCCAAGCCCTGTGACCTCTTTACCACTTTCTTTTTCCCCAGATGCTGCCACCAGATCCCCTAGAGCAATTTTATGAGGTAGGTTGGCACTGCTGGGTTTGACTTTAAAAAGCTGCATGGGAATACAATCTGAGAATTTTGTATTTGACGAGTCTGAGGAACCATCCTGTGTAACTCTTTATTGTGCATCGCAAGGCTAAGGAAGGGGGGACAGTGGCCCAAGGCCTTAGAGGCAGCTGGACCAGATTCTGGGTCCCTGGCTCCTGCTGTGATTTCTTTTACCTCCAGGGCTCTGAATTGGATTGCAAATGAGATAGCACTAGCCTAGCACATGCTGAGGTGCAAAGGAAATTTTGGAGTAGAGATTGCCAAGGTAGCCAGGTGAAAAGACAGAATTCTAGGTCAGGGCCAGGGCCCTAGGTCCTAAACTTACATCTATTTCTGATTCTTTGTAAGAACCTGGTGAAACCTATTCCTCTCTGAGGTCGCTGAAGAGTGCAAGTTGGCACTTTCTAGACATGGTGCTTTTAAGGCAATCTGTGCCCGTGATCCCTAACTTATCTCTCCGTTCACTTGTAGAAGGATCCACCATCAACAGCCTCTGGATACTATTGTCATGGCCCCAGAAAACCACCTCCCACAGTTGCATTGGATCCACTGGTCCCCACTCTACCAAAAGGAAACACAGAGTCAGACTATGAGGTACTTTTATGCCACCCTGAATCTTTGGACAGGTGGAGAGCTGTCACCAATCTGCCTCTCCTCCTTGCTGAGAAGTCTGTAGGATAAGCTACCAAGAGAATTTTCCCTTCACTGTTTTTCAGTTCCATTCCACTCATTTCCATCCTATCATGTTCTAGTTCATTTCATTCTGTTCCTTTCCAGTCCCCTTGATTTTTACTCCAGCCCATGTTTCCCTCACATTTATTTTCATCTTACCTGTTAGGAGGTGGAGGAGGAGCAGGAACATATCCCCCAGATTGAGCAGGCACTCTGAGGCCATAAAACAAAGCAGATGCTTGCTTACATTACAGTTTACAGAGAGTTTCATTCAGAGTAACTTACTGACGGAGGGGAAATCAGGTGGACGATGATCAGGAAGGAGTGCAGCAATTCTCCACAAGATCCCAGTCTTAGTCCACAGATTTTAGAGGGTGAAGGCAAGGTGTCTAACGTGTACCAGACCTCTTGCCACCAATTGTGCTCCAGAAGGGTGGAGGTGGGGAAGAAATTGTATCATCATCTCTACCAGTTATCTAAACAAGCGTAGGCAAGACCAAAACAAGCCTTTCCGCATTCGGTCGGGGCATACCCTAACCTGCAAGGTGCCTGAAACACGTAGCGCCAAGAAAGGTCGTCTTGCAGATGTGGACAAGGTGGAGTCAGTACTGTGGGCACTCCTACATCACTCATTTCCTTTCTACCCATTTTACTTTACTCCCCCACCCTTTTCTTTTGAGAGGGAGAGCAACCAAGAGAGAGCGAGTGTGCACATGAGAGAGCATGAGGTAGGGGAGGGGAAGAAGGAGAATATCTCCAGCAGACATCCACCCCCACTGCAGAATCTGATGTGGGTCTCAATCTCATGACCCTTAGATTGTGACCTGATCAGAAACTAAAAGTTGGGTGCTTAACCCACTGAGCAACCCAGGCGCCCAACTTTACTCCATTTCTTTCCCACTTTATCAAACCATTTGCTTGCCATTCTATTTACTTCCATTCTCTTCCATCTTTCTGCATGCCATTTCTTTTGTTTCTTTCCATAAAATTCCTTGTTTTCCTCTTATTTCATGCCATTCCATTCCTCTCCATCTCTTCCTTATGTCCCTTCTATTCTTTCCCATTGCTTTCTATTGCATTTTCCTCATATTTATTTTTTCCCTTTAACTCCACTGGGTTCATGCCTTCTACATTCTGCAGCCTTCTCTTCCATTTCTGTCCATTCTGTTTCCATCCCAACCTTCTGTGTCATTTCCATTCTCTTTCTTTTCATCCTTGTTCTTCCCCACTCATATATTTAGTCCATCCTACAATTCTAGCTCCCACCATCACCTTTTCTTTTTCTTTCTTTCTTTCTTTCTTTCTTTCTTTCTTTCTTTCTTTCTTTCTTTCTTTCTTTCTTTCTTTCTCTTTCTTTCTTTCTTTCTTTCTTTCTTTCTTTCTTTCTTTCTTTCTTTCTTTCTTTCTTTTCTTCCTCCCTTCCTTTTTTTTTAAAAAAGATTTTATTTATTTATTTATTTATTTATTTATTTATTTATTTATTTATTTATGATATATAGAGAGGAAACATGAGTGGGGGAAGGGGCAGAGGGAGAGGGTGAAGTAGGCTCCCCACTGAGCAGGGAGCCTGATATGGGGCCCAATCCCAGGGCCCTGAACCACAGGCAGATGCTCAACCAACTGAGTCACTCAGGTGCCCTCATCCTGCTCCTTTCTGTTCAGTCTCCCTATTTACACAGTGCCATGTACCTGGCTTTCATTTCATTCTAGCACATTCCCCTTCTTCTCCTTCCATAGAGTATTTTTGTACTCTCTTCCTTTTCCTTCCACTTCTTTCCTCCTTCTCCCTCCATTTCCTTTCCCCTGTGCCTTCCTCTGCTGCTCAATTCTATTCACTGTTTCCCATTTCCATCTACTCTGTCCTCTTCTATCCCTTCTCCACTCTTCTCCATTGGATCCTATTCCATGCTCCCGTTGTCCTCTCCCATCACACTCCCTTCCAGCAGCCCACGCTACATTCCTTACCATTTAGCTTCCTGATTTCAGGTCCTCTCCTGTTCCTTCCCATCTCCTTTCCCCCCAAGACACGCCATTGCACGAGCTCCATTCTATGCCATCTTCTCCATTGCCATTCTAGATTCCCCAGCACTCCAATTTTGTTGCTATATTGCCATTCCTAAATTCCCAGTTTCCCTTATCATATTACATTTTTGTCACTTGTCTTCCATTCTTTTCCTCTCTTCAAATGCCTTCCCTTGCTACTCTGGTCCATTCAGTTCTTATCCTATGCTCCATGTCATTCTTCTCCTTTCCACACCAGCTTATTTTACTCCATTCTTTTCCTTTTCATTCTTTTCAACTATAATTTTTATACTTATTTTTAAAAGATTTTATTTATTTATTTATTTATTTATTTATTTATTTATTTGAGAGAGAGAGAGAGAGAGACTGTGAGAGTGATCACAAGCTGGGGGGAGGCAGAGGGAAAGGGAGAAGCAGACTCCCCATTGAGTAGGGAGCCCACTGTGTGGTTCAATCCCGGGACCCCAGGATCATGACCTAAGCCAAAGGCAGACACCCAACCCACTAAGCCACCCAGGCACCCCTGATTTTCTATTTATTCCATTTCTTTCATTTACATTTTTTGGATGCCATGCCATTTATTTCACTCTACTCCCTGACATCAATTTCCATTCCATTCCATTTCTCACTATTCCCATCCCTTTCAGTGCATTGATAACCATCTATCCTCTTTAATTTGTTTTCTTTTCTTTCTAATCTTTAATTTTTTTTCATATTTACCTCTCTACATTTCTCCCATGGAGGATTTGAGACAATTGACAGCAAGCTTCTATACCACACTACATAATGGTGCTTAATTACAAATAGGAACCACAATTAGGAAAATACTTTAAATAAGAGCAGGAGGGATCCCAGGGTGGCGCAGCGGTTTGGCGCCTGCCTTTGGCCCAGGGCGTGATCCTGGAGGCCCAGGATCGAATCTCACGTCAGGCTCCCAGTGCATGGAGCCTGCTTCTCCCTCTGCCTGTGTCTCTGCCTCTCTCTCTCTCTGTGACTATCATAATAAAAAAAAAAAGTAAATAAGAGCAGGAAGTTAAGGTATGGATAAGAAAGTAAACATGCTGGACCTACAGAGTATCTGTCCCTATATTTCTCATTTGTCTTTGACTTCCCTAATAGCCAATTTTTTTTTAAAAAGCATCATCAGTTTTATCACCCAAAAAGAAGAAAGTTATTAGCTCATTTGGGCAATTGAGAAGCAGAGCTTCCCATTGAAAGTTCAGGTGATGGCTTCCTGGTTTTAAGGATTAGTGAAATTATCTCAGATGACTCAAGTGATAACATCCATATTCAGGACTAACCAGATTACTCCATGTTCAGAGATGGACTTTAGACAGTATCATCTGAAGGAGTCAGTGACTAATCAGACTTTTTAGGAGGCAAAAGAGGGAAGCCAGAACAGATTTGGGAAAATAAAAAACTTTGGGGACACAGAACTCCAATTTTTTGTGTCTGAAGTGCTGCCTAGCAGTGGAGTGACAGATGCATTCCCTGTTATTTCAGAGGGTAGACCAATTACTGTGGAGGGTAGATTGGAGGGTGCCAGGCTTTAGTCTAATTGACAGATGAATCACTCTCAAAAGATGTAAATGTCTTATGTATCATAGTCAGGGATTTTAAACATTATCTTTTTTTTTAAAGTAGGCTCCGTACCCAATGTGGGGCTTCAACTCATGACCCCAAGATCGAGAGCCACATGCTCTACCAACTAAGCCAGCCAGGTGCCCCCATAGTCAGGGATTTCAGTAAAAAGACAAACCCTCCGAAAGTAATTGAGAGAACACTGGGGAATCTCAGATAACTCAATTTCAAAAATTACCTGTGGTCGTACAAGGACTGGAATGTTATCAGGAAGCTTTTCTCTCTTATATGGTTGTTCATATTTGCTAAGCAAGGAACTTGCCCCATTGTTCTTAGTCCAGATTGAGTTCCTGCACAAGCTTCCTGGTCACTACTCCTCTATAACTTCAGATTATGTATAACAACACCCTCTATTACTACTTTAGAGTTTCCAGGTTCAAATTCTACAGAGGAGAATCAGACTGGCTCGGGCCATTGTACAGATTGTGTTGAGGCTTGCCAGCTCTTCAGTCAGCTTGGCACCAGTACAGCTAGTCGTTTAGGCCCCTCTCTTCATCAGGGTCCAGGGAGGAGAGCTGCATTTGTTCCCTTCCATCAGTAAAGCAAAAGCTCTTCCTAGAAGTCTCACTCACTGAAACTCTTATGTCTCCTTGGCCAGAATTCTGCCACATGGTATATTCCTTGTTGCAAAGAAGGCTGAGAGGGTGAGGTGTTACGCTTCCTAGTCTTGTCAGTGGAAGTAGGCAAGGGATAAGATATGGGGAAGAGTGTTGGGTCAGCAAACTCAACATCTGCTCTATTCTGGAGGGTTGAGAAGGAGCGAACCATGCAAAGCGTCTGGAGTGGAGTATTCCAAGTTGAGGGGCATTAAGTGAAAAGGTTCTGAAGTGGGTATATTATAATCTGTTGCTGCACAACAAAGTACCACAAATTTGGCAGCTTAAAATAGTATATGTTATTATGTCAAAGTTTCCATCAGGAGTCCACGCACTGCTTAGATGGGCCTTTTGCCAGGCTATAATCAAGACGTTGGCCTGGGCGCAGATCTCATCTGAGGTTTGACTGGGGAAGGATCCACTTCCAAGCTCATGTGGTTATTGGCAGCCTTCAGTTGGCTTCAATTGGCAGCCTAACAGACATCTTGCAGGTTGTCCTAACAAGGACCTCGATTTCTTACTGCCTAACAAGGCAGCTGGCTGGAGGCTGCCCTTGTCCTTTGCCATTGGCTCTCTCCATAGGCAGCTCACAACATTGTATCTTGCTTTTTCAAAGCCAAGACAGAAGTTGTGATCTTAGGTAACAGAATCAGTACATGCAGTCATGCACATCTTGTCATTTTGCCATATTCTGCTGGATAGGTGCCAGTGACAGATCTTGCCCTCAAGGGAAGAGGATGACATAAAGGCATGAATACCAGGAGGTGAGGAGTATGAAGGACACTTTAGAATCTGTCCTCCATGGTAGGGAAGTATATCAGCCATTATAGGAACACAAAGGGGCCAGCATGATTGAAGTGCAGTGAGATAGGAAGAAGATCTTTGGAATTTCCAAGATGGAGGACAGTGCCAGAGTATCTGGGCCTTGGACTAAACATAGCAAGTAGGCCAGGAAGGCCTTCCCAGAAAATGGAACTCATTTTTTCTCTTTGTGTAACAGGTGCTTGTGAATCCGGAGCAGAACATTTACTGCCAGATCAACCCCTCAGTCTAACAGAAGCAGATTTCCTTCAGAAATCCTAGAAAAATCACGCTCAATCAGATATTCAATGAAATGTATTGGGTTCCTATTGTATTCCAGCCATTGACTTTGTAGATCTTGTGATATTCTGTTTTAATGTGTTTTTCAAGCTCCAGACCCTAGCTCCTGCCAAAATCTTGGGCTTTTGACTCATGTTTCTTTAAAACCAATACAAACAGGGAGAAAGTGACCCAGAACTGGAGTGCAAACCTAGCAGTTGGTGATGCTATAGCTGTATCATGAGGATGAGCAAATACTGGTGATGGACACAGCAGGTGGGTTGGGAAAATGTAGTGTGAGCCAGCCAGAGATGAGCAGGGGATGTATTCAGGGGCCAGTCTTTCAAATAATGGCAGAGGAGAAGAAAAAGGAGCTATTAAGAGATGATTACAGGAAAAAATCAGAATAAAGTAAGAAGCCTGGGGAGGAGCAGATGCAAGATGCTTAGAGTCCCAAGGGCTTTGGGGGTAGAAGTGGTGAGAATCAGACTTGGTGAAGAGAGAGTGAGGAGTGAAGGGTGACTCTCAGGTTTCTGGGAGTCATCCTGGATGACTACAAGCCACTTTCTGAGGGAGTAATGAGGGAGGAGCACATTTCAGATAGGGAAGGAAAATCAAGAATTTGCCTTAGGCAAGTCAAAAATAGATTAGCTAGAGAATAAAATAGGCAACTGTTCATAAAAGTCTGGATAGATCAGGGTAGGAGATACACATTTGAGAATTGTCAGTGGGATTTAAAGTTATGGGACTGTAGGATATCCTGTGTCAGGGCTCTCCAAGACCAGCCTCAGGCTCAGTGATTTGCTGGAAAGATTCATAGGACCCAGAAGTGGTTATACTCATGGCTATGGCTTATTATAGCAAAAAGATAGAAAATAAAATCAGCATAGGGAAAAGGTGCATGGGGTGAAATCTGAAGGACACCATGTACAAACTTCCAAGTGTCTTTGCTCAGTAGAGTCACAGGGGAATTCCCCCAACAATGATGTGTGATAACAGTTGTGAAGGGTTTCCAACCCACTTGTGAAGGGTTGCCAACCCAGAAAGCTCATCCTGAACCTGAGTGTCCAGGGTTTTTATAGGAGGTCAGTCACATGGGCATATACTGTAGGATTGACCTGTCACTGAAGCTCTAGGCCCTTACAGAAGTGAAGTTGGTGTTCACCATAGATCACATTGTATAAATTAAGGACAAGCTGGGATAGCATGGCTCAAGGCCTCAGGCCTGCAAAAACCCTTTATCAGAACATTACAAGACCTTAGTTCCTAGAAGCCAACCAAGAGCCAGTCATGGAAAAAGGCCTTTCTTGGGTTTGAATGCCCCAGGCCTATTGAGTTAACCCTTTTCCCTACAGATTGCAAAGAGAATGGATAAAGACAGAAAAGAGAAGGGCTGATAATTAAGCCATGGGTCCCTCCAATGTTTATAGTTTGAGAAGAGGATTGAGCAAAGGACAGGACTGTTTTTTATTTCCCCCACTGCCAAGAACCCGCCACACCCCAGTATCCAAGGGACAGTTTATACTCCCCCTCTAGTGACTCTTGCCTTTATCTTCTAACATTTAGAGCAAATGGATTAATGGCCTCCTTGTTTCTCAGTATGTGTTGAGCCCTCACCCAAATCCTGGCCAACAGAACCTCCATATTAAACTTGGCTCCTACCCAATCCCCAAACAGCTGATAGAGAAGCCTCTGGGTTCGATGGGCGTCTTCTAGAATGAGTTCCTGTACCTCACAGTAAAGTAAAACTTACTATGTTGTTCATTTTGAAAGGAGAAAAAAACAGCAAACAAAAGAGTCAGTTTTAAATTCTATTTTACTAATGCTTTAATGTCTGAATATCTTAAATCTTAAAAAATTGAAAAAATACAGAAAAAGAAGATGAGACAATGGTCAAAGCATCCCATGATGATTTTGTCACATTTACATACTGAATCTGTAGATCATTCTGCAAGATTTGACATCTTCACAATACAGCTTGTGGCATGGAGATTCTGTTATGTCTGTCATTGGGGTTTTGAAGGTTTCTTCTTATGCTTCCTTTGTTTTCATTATTATGAATAAATATAAACTTTCCGGTCTTGTTTGCAAACTTAATATTGCTTATAAAGAGGAAAGATATGGATATGCGGGCAAGGGGCAATATAATGTAAAAGGAGCATGAACTCTAGTATCAGACTTCTCAGACTCCATCCCAGCTCTGCCCTCACACTACAATCCAGGGTAAGTTACTAAACACTTCTGGGTCTCAATTTCATCTTCTGTAAAAGGAAGTAACAGTCCAACCTTGTATGAATTGCTATGAGGACTAAGTGAGAAACATTTATAAGGACCTTACAGCAGTCCCTGGCACAGAGTGGTACATAAACGTTTCCCATTATTGTTTTCATATTTGATGGCTTTCTAGCCTCTCTTGAATGTTCATTTCTTTTAGTTAATTCTCTTGGGTCTTGTGGTTTGTAGTAGTATCTGCTAATCATAGTAATTTTGCATTCTCTGTGCCCAACGGTTATGACGCATATATTTTTTTTTTGAGAGTGTGCTAGTGGATGGGAAGGGGCAGAAGGAGAGAGAGGATCTTAAGTAGGCTCCACGCCCAGTGTGGAGCCCGAAATGGGGCTTGATCCCATGACCCTGAGATTGAGACCTGATCTGAAATCAAGAGTCAGATGCTCAACTGATTGAGCCCCCTAAGGGCCCCATGATGCATATCTGTTTTGTAATGAAGTTTTATTTTTAAAACCAGTCCCTCCCTATCTTTAAAACACATAAGGAAACACAGATGAAGTGGAGTAATGTGTAGGATTTGCTTCAAAATGACTGGGGGAGGAGTAAAGTGGAAAGCAAAGGTGGGGCTAGAGAGAAAAGATGCAGTGAAAAATTAAATTGCATGCCAGGCCAAAGGAGGGGGTACCCTTTAACTAGTCTCTCTACTTTTGTGCTGGAAATGTATGTAATAAAAAGTTAAAAAAACAGTAGGTTACCTACTTCTATTTTAAAAATAACATATTTAACCCTCATATGTCAGCAGCATGCCCATTAAAAAGAGAACACAAGCAAGAATGTCACTTCTACAGATATTGTTGTGAAAATGATAGCTGACACAACCCAAATGCAAGGAAATATCTGGTTAAAAATACTGGCAAGGAAGGGGCACCCAGGTGGCTCAGGTCATGATCCCAGGTCCTGGGATGGCACTCTGCATCTGGCTCCCTGCTCCAGGGGGAGCCTGCTTCTCCTCCCTCTGCCGCTCACCCTGCTTGTGCTCTCTCCCCCGCAATATATAAATAAAATCTTTAAAAAAATAAATATTGGCAAGGAAGAGATGAAATAATTATCAGTGATGATTGTCTCACTAGAAAAGCCAAAAATATCAAAGGAAATGCTGTAAAAATTCCTAACACTGCAGTGGCAACAGGGTGGCTCAGTCGATTAAACATCTGCCTTCAGCTCAGGCCATGATACCAGGGTCCTGGGATTGAGCCCCATGTTGGACTCTCTGCTCAGCAGGGAGTCTGCCTCCCACTCTTGCGCATGCACTCTCAAATAAATAAATAAAAATCTTATTCTAACATTTCAATTAGGTTAAACCAGATACAAAATAAGTATTACTTTTTATTTTTAAAGTTTTTAAATTATTTAAGTAATCTCTATACCCAATGTGGGGCTCAAACCCACAAAACCGAGATCAAGAGTCACATGGTGAATGGACTGAGCCAGCCAGGTGCCCCCAAAATAAACAGTAAAAACAACCACAATGACCAATTATAAGAAATTGAGAGGGGTAGAGATTAATTCCAAAGAGCAATAATTTGTTGTTAAAAGATATAAGTTATGTGAAGAAAAGTACTTTGACAGCAATTTAAAATACCCTTTAAAATGCCGTATTTCATATAGCAGGGGCTCCAACTGTCAGCTTCTCCCTGGTGGTGGTGGGAAGTAAACATCACTGTTTCCTCACAGGGTGATTGTGCCAGTTAAGATGTTAACGGGTTTAACCAAGGGCCAGGAACCTCTATTTATTCAAAAACAAATCAAATATTTATTGAGCATCTATTATTATGTGCCAGGTACCTTAGGATGCTGGGGATACAGCACTGATCAAAGTAGATAGAAATCCTCTCCCTTATTGAGCTGACAGTCCAGTGGCGGAAGCAGATAAACAATCGACCAAGCAAATACCTACAACATATATTATGTTAGATGTGAGAAGTTCTCTAAAGAATAAAGATGAGGAGGGAGGCAGGGAGTGCCTGGCGAGCGAAGGGTTTGCGCGTTTACAAGGGTTTAGGGGGGAATGCCTCATGAGACAGTGACGTCTGCCTAAAGAGCAGATGGAGAGAATCCAGGGGAATCCTCAAAGGAAGAGCTGCCAGCCAGCATGAACAGCACGTGCAAGGTGGGAGCCTAACGGAGTTTCCAGAGAAGGTGGAAGCGTGGCTGGAACTGAGATGAGGCAAAAAGCGAAGGGGAGGGGTAGAGTGCAGATCCATGAAGGCAGAGAAAGAATTCAATTTAAAAAGCAAAAGGATTCTTGCTTTTTACTATCATGATCTATAAAAATATGTCAGCAGGCCAGATTCTTGAAGGACCTGACAGGAAGTCACTGGACTGTGTAACGGGCTTGTAGCCACTATTTTGGGGCTTGAAGCCACTATTTTGGGGCTTGAGGACCAAAACGGAGACCTCGCGGGAAGCCCGGGAGGCGTCCCCGCCCTTTCATCCCGATCCCGTTTCCACGGCCGCTCCTGGGCGTCCAGCGGGCCCCAGGCCAGGCAGCCACTGCCCACGCATCGGAGCCTAGGCCTGGGCCTCCAGGTCCTACGTCTCCTCGCCCCGCAGAAACGCGGACAGACAGTCGCAGCTCCCACCATCTACCCCAACCCCAAGCGGCTAGCGGTAATCCCCACGCTCGCCTCCTGGAGGAGCTGGAATCCCGCCGAATCGCCGCCGGCGCCGTTGAGGCTTCTGGGAATTGTAGTCCCAGCTCGCCCAGCCCAAACGCACTTCCGGGTTCGGCCAGAAACGCAGCCATTGTCCCGCGCGCCGGTGCCTGCTGTCGCCGCGCACCTGGGCTCGGACGTCAGCCGAGCGGCCCTGTGGATGCCGACTAGAGCCGGGGGCCGAACTAACGTCCCCCGAGTCTGTCGTGTGCAGAAACGGCTCAAGGCACTGCTTAACCCGACCTCGTCCTGCCGCAGAGCCGTGCCGGTCACCGAAGCTGGGACAGGCCCGGCCTGGGCCGCGAGCCCGTGGACGCCCAGGTGGGTGAGGGGCGGGGCGGCACTGTGCGCGCATGCGCAGGGTGTAGGCGGGAACCCGGGGTTCGGAGTGTGAATGGGCGACCTCGGACCTGCGCGATCGGTGCTTCAGCCTCGGGTCCACGAAGTAGGTGGAGATGGTGCAGCTGGGGATTCGGGACTGAGGGCGCGTGCGAGTCCTTGATCAGGTGGTGCCCTTGTCCCAGCCTGAGAATGCCCAGGTTGAAGACAGGCCACATGCAGAGATGTGGGGACATCCTGAGAACCCCGCCTTCCCTTCCTGCGATGCCAGGGTGGTTTAGTGCAGGATCCGAGCACTGGATCCGAATCCCAGGATGATAGAGTACTCAAAAGCAGATCAGGAGGAGAGGGGCTCTGCTACTGTCCCTGCATTTTCTTTTCTTTTCTTTTCTTTCTTTCTTTTTTTTTTTTTTTTTGAGATTTTATTTACTTATTCACAAGAGACACACAGAGAGGCAGAGCCATAGCCGGAGAGAGAAGCAGGCCTCCTGTGGGGAGCCGGATTCGGGACTTGATCCCAGGACCCTGGGATCACGACCTGAACCAAATGCTCAGATGCTCAACCACTGAGCCACCCAGACGTCCCACTGTCCCTGTATTTTGAGCAAGCGTGTGAATAGGAAACATGAGGTGGGAGGTGAGATTCTGGGGATTGTCGTGGGGCCCCGGGGGTGCCCTGGATAGTGGAGAGACCAGGTTTGAGTTGCAGATACTTGCTCCAGAAGAAGTGGTGCTACTTGAACGAACTATCTGAGAATCACTGATGGCTGCAGACTCCTCGGTTGAAGGAGGGACCAGGGCTGGAGACAGGGTCTAGGCAGAGTGCTCCCTGCACGTGCTGGGGGTGTTTGAATGGGAAGCAGAAATGTGGACTGGTAATCCTGGGACCCAGGTAGGATAGTGCAGGGTCCTGGGGCATTCAAGTTTGGTGCAGACTTTGGGTTGGAGGTGTAGAATTGGCATCGAAGAAGGACAGAGCTGCAGCAACTGCATAATATTGACAGCTGTTTGGTAAGGAATCAGGGTGCTGCCAGCATGGTTATAATATTGGCATTCCCTGAACCTTTGCTTAGGGGCCATTCTGGTTGCAGGCATGAGAATGCCCAGGTTGGTAGAGAGACAGAGTATGGGCTGCAGATTTGGACCTAGAGAGGGCTGTACTCTGTGGCATCTAGGGGCTCACATTTGGACTGGAGGAAGCAAAAGGACCTGGTTGCCATGGGAGCTGCTCTGTCGTGAGCTTGAGAACCCCCAGATGGTGAGTGCCAAGTCCTGGGGCTGACTTTGGAGTTCTTTGATCACGCTACTATTTGGGTGTTCTGATATCCTGGTGTGTGAGCAGGCAGTGGGGCAGGTGACCCTAGAGGCCTCACAGAGGCTTGTGGGTATTTGAGGTATCCCAGGTATTGAGGTGCAGAGTGGGAGATGCAGCTTCTCATCTCAGAAGCAGGGACTGCACAGTACTCTCGGGCTGGTGGAAGGCCCAGGTCCTGGATGCAGGTTGCGGGTGTGAGCCTGCTCTGCGTGTGCCAGGATGTGCCAGCAGGAGGAGGGAACCTAGGTGGGTGGCCCGGTGCAATCGCTGCTGGAGCTGCAGGTTCTGGTCTTGGAACGCCTGGTATTTGGGCAGAACGGGGAGGCACGGGTAGTCCTAGGACCCTGGTTCTGCCTGGGGATGCCCAGGTGAGTGGAGGGAGCACCTGCAGGTTCTGGGCTGCTTCATGACCCCTTGTACAAACATATAGGTATTTGGACAGGAAACAGGCTAGAGGTGGGAATTAGAGGGTGCTGAGG